TCATGTTTCGTACATCTGGAACACAGATAACAACTTGAGAAAACAGCTTTCAAGCTGTTATCTTACACGACAGTTTTCCCATTCATGTATTCTGCAGCAGAAAAATGGGCTGATAGTTCTTTCACATCAAAGAAGTAGCGTACTGTAGCGTGGCGATGTCTTTTGAAGGTAAACCGGTGCACACTACCTCGACCTGATTTTCGTAGTTAGCATCTTGTCATTGAGACCCAGTGGAATGCATTTAGATAAGTGAACATCGATGAGATAGGCATGCAATGCGATGAAAAAAAACGTTGGACGAGAGAGAAGAACAATGAAGTGGATCGCAAGATAATAGAACGAAGGGGACCTCCAAAAATATGGGCCAGTATATTCACTGCAAACGTAGGCAATCTCTATGCATAGAACGAATCAGCTTTCAGTTCCTTAACGCATAGCCATATTCAGCAAAAATTATCCAATTCTTGATCACATTGTGGGAAAAGACAACTTCTGTGCTAAGTTGCCGCGTTTTGCGCAAATTTGGACAAACATGAAGCACCAAAAAAAATCCTCAGAGCCAAATTTGCATATAAAAAAGGTTATAATTTGTGGACTACTGATGAAAATATTATCTATAACATAGCCAAACCTACTGATGACATTACAGTCGATAACTGACGTGTAGAACCGGAGATAATAAGCGACAGCAGAAGCGCTTGTGGCACTGATCAACCGGATATAGAGAAACCAGTGTTGCGATAAAACAACGTTGAACTACACGAAGCACTTTGCCAAAGACTTTAATTACATGGAACGTGATGGGATGAAAACTGTCTTATCCGAAGCACTCAAATTCCCACCAAATCACCGCTACTCTTTCGAGCATTTCGACAACCATAACGGACAAGGTCAGGTCGCTTGGCCCTTGATAAAGACCTGAGGGGTGTCCTATGCAGGCCACTAAGCATGGGAATGGCTCGGACAATAACCATCGGAAGTTACCCATACGTTAAGTTAGTGCTTCTATACTCCTAAACACGTCTAGAAACAATCTGCCGACCAGGGAAAGATGGAGTATTAAAGGACCAGATCGAACCAAAGAGCACGTGTGCATTTCAGAGCATCTCAGACCAATGCGCTACTCATATCTCTTCAATAACTATTTGTTCAGAATACCTTCATCAGTCTGGCCGCTGTTTTTTGTATACTGGAGAAGCCAACAGCTATTCCGTAACTGAATACATAAACCTATACCCGTAAACGGGATTGATCTGGGGAGCCCAAATCGGCATTGAACCCAGTTAAGCTGAGGCTTAGTTATAATCACAATCTTAACCCTTGATTGACGGGTGATTGCTGATGGCAAAAGATCAATAGAACTAGTTGATAGATAGGCAAAACGAAGGACCCGGATGGTGTGGTGGTGAAGTGCGTTACTCCCCGGAAAGGACAATAACGCGTTCGCTCCTCGCCGCATACACCTGCGGTCCGGAGTTTTGCAAATATCTCAGCATTATATATAAGTTAGTTATCCCCAGTATTCTTACCGGTACTACAACTTTTTCGAGTACTGAAAGGGTCATCCTACCACATTTTAATCAAGTTTTCAACGGAAACAATTCATCTGATCGTATATGATTCATGGATACTGATTTTACACAATAGAATTTCTTCCACCTTTTCGTTCATCTCTTGTTTTCACACTACTTGAGTGTTTAGTCAGACTTCTGAATTCCTTGAGAACAAAAAAGCAAATGTTTTTTTCCCTAACAGAACGAAATGACAGAGAAGATCGATATGTAGTGTTAGTTTTTACGTCAGTTGATAAAGTCCACCATGAGCTGAGATATGTTTTTGTTTTGATAACAGTGTATTAATAAAATGTAGTGATTATTCTTGTCAAAAACGATGTGTGTAGCGCCGTGGTCGGAGGCGCCCTGCGATAAGATCAATAGAACTACCTGATAGATAGGCAAAACGAAGGACCCGGATGGTGTCGAGTAGATGGCATGGAGAATGGGGTTATAACGGTGACCATCACACTTACCACTCGATTAGTAAACAACGCAAAAAACAGGACAACGATCAAAGCTTAGAAGAAAGCATGAACGAATAACTTCGTCAAATAAAGCGGCAGTACCTCAAGAGCAATATCCAAGAATACTATCAACTGTGAGAGAGTCTACTGAGAAATCACTCTACTTTTACAAAGATGCTAAGATATAGCTGAATTCGGAACATCGGATGGGCTTCGAACCAGCGATTAGCATTTCGGTGGGTTCACGTGCCATCCACCACACCAACCAAGGCTTTCGTTTTTGTTTTTTTTCTTTTTTTTGTTTTTGTTGTGGCTTTTGTTTTGCTTTTCTCCCAGCCATTTTACTTTATACTTTGCAACAGAAGCAGAAGAAACGGGTAAAAACACAGAAAAAATCTACAAACAGATTGGAAGAAACCCGTAAATTGTTGCTTGAATACAATCCAGAACGAATTTGGAACGTTTGGAACGAATCACTTAGAGGTCCTCTGAAATACACATGTGGACGCTGGTTCGATAAAGCGCACTGAGAAGACCAAATCCTGTCTCCAAATTCCTCCACGGTCGGAAAATTGGTAACCGACCTATGTGGGAGTTCCAAAAGAGCTTACTTGGAAGAAGATCTGGAGCAGACTTTAGCCAAGCTGGACTCAGGACTCCAGGAAAACAATGGCTAAACCTGCAAAACTCCGAACAATGGAGAATGTGCTGAGGACTACACAACCAGTGAGGACGAGCCGTCCGCTCTCCAGAGTCCAGCTTGGCTAAAGTCTGCTCCAGATCTTCTTCATTACAGGCTGTCACCGCCCTTGTGGATCAGAGGGAGATTTGCCACCATGCGATTAGTTTAATTCCAGGACGGTGATGTATTCTGGTATTGATTTACTCTTAGCTGTGCTTCCTCATGGAAAAACCGAACTCTTCAGCTTAGGAGGCCTTGCCGAAGGGATAAATCCCCCCGCTAAACAGCAGCCCAAAAGCCAAGAACATCTCCCAACTACAAAGAGGTAGTAAACGGCCAAGCCAACCGTTGGTAGGGGCCCAAAATAATGAACTGACAAATCAACAGCCCGTAAAGAGTTATCGTACCAGTGGAAAACGTACTTATCCTCTCGAGCAATGTTATGAATAGAACTAAGATGGTGTAGAGATAATTGCAAAACTCCGGACTGCAAGTGTCTGCGGTGGGGAACGAACGCTTCACTATGCTTTCCGGGGAGCAACGCGTTCACCACCATACCATGCAGGAGTTTTGCAAATATCTTAACATCAATTTAGTTGCATTTCGCATGATACCCTGCCGCTAAAATTGTAGTAGGCAGTAAATAAAAAGGTTGAGGTTATGAATAGAGTTGAATTCATAACGCATCTCTAAGGTATACATCAACGCCGGTCGCTTTATCTTTTGTTTATAAATCCCTGATTGTCAATGTAAACACTCATCATGGCCAAACCTCACGTGTCCTCAGACAACCCTATTCTGAAGGATGGACTGCTCTACTTTCAACCATATTTCTAAACGCTAGATGCCTTATGTCAACTTTACTTGACGCCAGGACACCAATACATATCCAGTGTTAGATGATAAACGGATAAACGGGTCAAGCTCTCCACGTTGATCAATCCCTTAGAGATGTGCCATGCATTCAACTTCACTAAGCATCTTTGGAGGTGACTGATTGCATATCTGGCCTTTACAATTACTGGCGATTACCTAGCGATGTATCGAGCCAGTGCTGCTATCCTCTCAGACAAGTCTGGTAGCAATTTGCCGACCCCAGAGGGATGGAAGGCTTGGTGAGCCTGGGCAAGGGGATCGATCCAATTGTATTGCAGAGCCACTATGCCACACGCGACCCGTATTGAGTGGTAGATAAAACAATCAACACTAGTAACTCGAATATCGCTTCATCCTCCATATAGAAGTACTGCTGACATTCCTTGGATTGATAATACACGGTATTTCGGAAGACATTGCTCAAACAAGTTCTGGTGATTAAAAACTATTCAATGGGTCGTTTTCTTGTTCAGCAATCGCGAGGTTTTTAAACAGCATACATTTACTTCCATAAAAACACAATACAATACAACGACTATAATCAGCTGTTCTAAGCTTCCTCATTGGAAGTCACAAAAAAGCGGTGGGTTTTTCGAGAAGTTGTTGATCGTGTAATTACCAAAGAGTCTTTCGTCTTTTTGTAAGTGTTATTGAAGCGTTTGGCCTAGTAGATTGTATATCAGTATACCCTTCCAGGCTCTGAAGAAGGCGATACTGCCGAAACGTCAGCTAGCGTTGTATTGTATTGTGTTTCTCTATGGAAGTAAATGTATGCTGTTTAAAAACCTCGCGATTGCTGAACAAGAAAACGACACATTCATATTCCAATGCCGAGGTTAAGAGAAAGTCGATCCTGGGAACTATTCAATGGATCATACACTGCCGTTAAAAAGAGTAGGCAGTCAATAATAATAAGTTAAAATTGTGATTATAACGGCAGCCTCAGCTTAACTGGGTTCGTTGCCGATTTGGTCTACCCAGATCAATCATGCTGACAGGTGATTGCTGATGGCAAAAGATCAATAGAACTAGCTGAGAGACACGCGAAACGAAGGATCCGCATAGTGTTGTGGTGAACGCGTTACTCCCTGGAAGGGAACGGAGGGAAGTGATTACAGCGACAATAGCGCGTTCGTTCCCCACGCAGACAGCTGCGGTCTGGAGTTTTGCAGATATCTCAGCATCATTAGAGTTATATTTCGCAATATATACCCTGCCGTTAAAAGGAGTAGGTAGTAAATAATAAGTTAAAATTGTGATTATATTTATTGTGATCTTTGGCTATTAGGGAAAGACAAGCCGACTAATTATTCAATTCTCAAATAAATGTAGGCAAAGATCAAAGATATCAGACAGAGGACATACCACATCCTAGGACAAACGTTGTGATATTAACAATTTAGAAAACAGAAATTACATGATCTAGTCACAAAATGATTTATTGATTATAAAAAATTCGTCCTGATCACTCCAACATATATTGCGACAGATCTGATAGAACAGGATGGGTATACAGCAGCCTGGATTCAACCCTATAAGATTAAGAATTATGGGACAGAAACTACGTGGCAGAAGTAAGGATTAATTGAAAACCAGTACAGACAGAAAAAGTGCAATCACATCACCATGAAGCACATTTCCTACCGTCGCTTAAACTTCAGAGTCCGAAATCGAGAATTAATTCCGTGCAACCCGAAGGAGACATAAGGCGCACCTCTTCTTTCTCTTAATATAGAACAAATATAATTATAATTAAACGGATGATTTACAATGAAACCAGTACCGTTTCCACAAAATTTTCTCATGCATCAATCACAACAGAAGCTTCAACTTAACTCCACATCCAACCTTTAAAATGAGTCAAACTCTACACCCTTCTTTCTAACGGGTTATTAAAAATCTCCCAAAGGTGAAGTGGTATGAAGCGAACAGAACACGTAAGAAACTTTTATAGATACGAATAACAAGCAGTTTCAACACTCGCGAAGAACGTCCAATTTCGCTGTTTTGCGGAGAGGACGAAGCTTAGCTTTCGCATCGCTCACTGTGAAACCTACATGTCTCATACTAGTCAATCCAACAGTTTCTACTTAGGCACCGCTCCTCCTGTTATAATTTTTGCTCTATAAATCGGTTCTTCTCTGCGTTTTTGACAAATTTCTGAGCTTCTCTTGCGCATGCCCCAAGTTCTTCTGCACACGCTCCCATGTTTTTGAGTTCAAAATTAGAAAAGAACGAACTACTTGTCAAAAATGATGCTGCACACTGTTTGTGTTGCCAGTCCTTGGAGGCAGAGGCATTTCTGCGCCTCTTGTTTATCAGTAAGAAATTATCAAGACATCCTCTCATGGATGACACCCGCCATAAGAATTGCGTTGAATAAGCCATCCATTGACATTACAAGTGCAGGAAAAAACTTCTACACACCAAAACAAACCACCGCAAAAAAACTGACACCTATAGGTACTCTTTAGGTATAGGTTACATGCTACTCCCGCAAAACCATTCTCATAGCAAAAGGTGTCACTCGTCGCTAGAGTGTTAAGTAGTAAGGTCATAACACAGAAACTTGGAAGTACTTACAGAGTTAACCGAATGTATTCCACTCACCAAAGTATAGTTCTTCACAACGAATGTTGAATGAATGAACTTCTCTCTCAGCCGGAAATTTTTCAAATGGATACCAAAGACCTGGATTGAACAAATTTTTTTGCGGCAACTCTCCCATGACGTGACATTTCCCACCAAAACTCAAACCGCTGATGATATCCCTATAAGAATATACGTGCTGCAGTCTCTTCGAGTACATTTCAGGATCAAGATTAAGAGGAGAGTAAGGTATAAACAAGCGCAAATCTTACATAATAACACAAAAGATCATACCATCGCGTTTGAAGTTCACACAGATAAAAGATATCTTGAGTGCTTTCACCACCCTTCATCGGTAGTTCAATTTCGCATATGCACACAATAATTATCGTGCAGATACCTTGGTCATCAATATGGTGGACGTCCGTCTGAAGCAGTATGATTATCATAACATCGTTCCATACAGTATTCTTAATGAAATTTTAAAACATTACGAGTTTGCTTCAAAATATTTTGCTAAATCATGTGACAGTTAATTTGTGATTTTTCGAATCGGATTCCAGAAACCCACCCACCTCATAATCCCAACTGCCTCGGTAACGTGCTCGTTCAAGTTCTTTCGTTCGACGAAGAAACGATGTCACGATATTATCGATGAGATTTTCGACAGACATTTCTTGGCGAGACACAAAGAGTGGATGACGAAGTCCACAAGGATGCTCTTGATCTGAAAAGGATTAAACTACAGAAATTCGTCATTAAACACTTTAGCGACCCAATTTCGTTGAAACAACGTATGCTTTAATAATGATTACTTTACATAAAACACAGAGGAGGTTAAAACACATCACATTTGATAGGAGCAATTCGAAAACTGTATTACTTGAACGCACTTGAACAACGCAATAGTTTAAATCAGGGATTTGTAAATATCATACCTCAATTCCAGAACAAAGCTACTCACTAGTTTCACAATTCACCAAGAAATAAGTCATCCTTTCCGAGTTATTCGCATAGATACAAGAAGATTCAACGGAGAGTTCTTCACCAATATCAACTAAGACCGACGAAGATGTAGAGCCGCAATACGGCATAATATCTTTAACAACTCTCCATGTCTATAAAGATACATCTTTGTAATCAACGAAAGAAACTGAAAATTGAAATAAAGAACGATAAAGCTGCCGACGTTGATCAATCCGTGAGGAATGAGCCATGCGTTCGACTTCATTAAGTATTGCTAGAGGTGACTGGATGCACAACTGGCCTTCACAATGACTCGCGGTGGCCTGCCGATGTATCGAGCCAGTGCTGCTATCCTCCTAGACAGGTCTAGTGCTCATTCTCTGACCTCGGTGGAAGGCTTGGTGAGCCTGGAGCGCGTGGATCGGTCCCATATGTATTACAGGAGCCTCCGACCGCTGCGCTACACGTGCGAAAATTAATGTGATAGGGAAAATCTGCCATGAGAAAAATAAAGGGTCAGTCCATAGAGTAATACAAAAGACACTGACCTTTTGCCCGAAAGCTTTCAAAGGAAGAGAGTTCGAAAAGCGAATCACGATCAAGGATACACCGGTATTTAATATAAAGCCATTTTTATAGATCCGCAAGTATTCTCTAGAACAGGACAGATCCGAACTCAATATTTGGCGCAACCATAAAAATGTCTATAAGCTTGTGTAGAAAGTATTATATTTGACACTTAGAATTCAAGCAAATATGTATTACTTAGTCAATGGAAAGCCGCTTTTTTGGCTCCTTCTGGAAACGATAGTAGACGGTGTCCTCATGCTGAAACACAATGAGCGGTCTGGGAAAACGGTGAAGACACGAAACACTGATGGCACGGAACAAGCACCGCTGCATGACAGACGGACATCATCTCTGTAATGGAAAAATCTTATTTTCTACATTGGTACTCTACAAGCGATTAATAGTTTCCGATTACCGCACTGCACAAGTGGAACAAATGATACTGACTCATATATATCTACACGTATGTACACATGTATAAATACACACCACCTGTATCAGCTGAGGTCCCGTTGATCGTCGAGTGACTCGAGTGGGCGCCAGTATATCTTCCGTTTTACCCCGTTGCGTGTAAGAGTAGCCCAGTGGGTTCTGCTCGCTCTAGCGACTCGTCGAGCATCATATCTTTCTTCACGGCTCTTCGTGAAGGACTCTGACCATCGCGTCGGTGGTCTTCCTGCAGTACGTTCGACATCCCGAAGAATCCAGTCACTAACGGCCCTTGTCCATCGGCTGTCTCTCATACGCATTACGTGTCCGACCCACCTTATCTTCGATTGTTTGGCGTACAGAACGGTGTCTTTGCTTTTTGATCGTTGACGCAGGTGGGAGCTTCAGATCCCTTCCCTTGTGTGAAATGGGATACTATTAGCATTGTCCTTTCGCGTTTAATAAGACTGAGTGGTATTTCATCCTGCTTACGCAGCGACCAGATTTCTGATGCATAAGTTGGGCAGGAAGGACCGTTGAGTCGAAAACGTAGGCACGGAGAAGGGTGTTCTCTTTGTCCTCTTCACTACATTCTTGATGCTCTTGAAAGCTCCTCAAGCCGTTCGTTTCCTTCTGTTCACTTCTGGAGCTAAATCGTTCAACATGTAGATTTCCCGACCTAGAAACACATAACTGGAGCATTCGGAGATATTCGTTCCGAGGAGCATAAATGGGGCATACGAAACCAAACCGTTGCTCATAAACATAGTTTTTCTAAGATTAAGTCGAAGACCACTCCTTCCAAAGGCTTTATCTAAGCCGGCAAGCATTCTTTCCATTGGATAAAGCTTGGTTTTATAAGGACGATGTCATCTGCAAAGCGAAGATGACGTAATCGCGGATCATCGATTTTCACTCCCATATTATCCCATTCCAATGCTTGCATGACGTTCTGGAGCGTGGCAGTAAATAATTTTGGTGAGATGGCATCGCTTTGCCTAACCCCTTTTTTACGTAGATGTTAACATTGTTGTAGAACAGTGATATCTTGGTCGTGAAAGTTTTACACAGCTCACAAAGAATCTTTATATTCTGAGTAGGGACTCCTTGACTATCAAGGGCTTCCAAGACTGCTTCTATCTCAATTGGGTCAGAGGTCTTCTTTAATCAATGAAAGTGAGACAGAGCGGTCTTTTGTACTCTCGCGATACTTCAATGAGCCTTGTTACCGTGTGGACGTGGTCCATCGTACTAAATCCTCTTCCAAGCCCTGCTTTCTCACATGGTTCTCCTTCGTCTAGTGTTCTGTCAATCCTGTTTAGGATGATTCGAATGAAAAGTTTGTAGGAGAGAGACAGCATGCAGATTGGGCGACGGTTGCCGATATCGTGTAAGTCACCCTTCTTGAACAATAACACGGTCATGCTGGTCTTCCACTGAGTAGAGACCTTGCCTTCAGACAGGTAACGTGTGAAGAGCCGAGCCAGTGTGTTTACGAGGACTGGTGGATGGGTCCTCAGGTGTTCTGGTCTATCCTGTCCGGACCTGGTGCTGTTCGATTTTTCACCGACGAAATGGTATGTCGGATTTCGGAAGGGAGAACCAGTGATACAGCAAATCCATACTCCTTTATTTCATATGATGGAAGGTGGACGTGGCTATTGAAGAGATCTGAGTATTATTCGTGAATGATTTTCTCCGCTGCCTTCCAGGTAACTGTTCCGTTTGGGTGTCAGAGTGCAATCATCTTGGTCTTGTAATTGGCGAAGCTTCGGTTGGCTTTGCGAATGCTTTTCCCAGTTTCTTCAGCTACGACCATTACTGCTGCTCTTCTCTCTTTAAGATCTTCTTTAGTCGTCTGTTGGCATTGTTTTGCAAGTTCGGACATTAGTTCACAGCTGCCTGCAGCTCGTGCAATTCCATGCTGGCGAATCAGCCTGAGTGTTTCTAGAGACAGACGTCTCCTGGCGACTTTCGAACTCACAGCTTTCATAGCGCTAACGTTTTCATAGCGCTTCGTCAATGTCATCGACAACGGTATCCTCCTGCGGACTAATAAATTGAATAAGTTCCAGTTTATGTTAGTTCTGGAACTTTGTTTCTTTGAATTTAGCGGCGTTTTCTCCTTACTCCGAGAATTGGAATCTTGCACGAAAGAGGCGACGGTCTTGTATGGAATTACGGGACAACAACGACATCGGTAAGGCAAAGCCTTCGGTTTTCTGTGATGTGGCCTATTTCGTTACAGTATTTTCCACTGGGAGACCCCCACGTCCAGCGTTGAATGTGGGGCTTCTGGGCTTGCGAGTTACCATGAATTGTATTGGTCGGCATAATAAACTCAGACAGCCCTTCACCTTGTTTGTTCCACTCCAATTCGTGGGTCCCAGTGGGACGTTCTTCATACGTTCTTATTGGTCCAACCTTGGCGTTGAAATCTCCAATGATAACGTTGAAGATTGTATAGTCTTCTCTATAGAAGTTCTCCAGGTTCATATAGAACGCTTCGACTTTTTATTTGTCATAATTTGATGTCGGTGCGTAAACCACAAAGATTGCCAAAGTCGGTATTGATCCACGTCTTTTTAATCGTAAACGTCCGATTCGGGTTGTAAGCCGTTCGAATAAATCGATGTTCATGAAAAAACTCGTGTTGACGAGAACGCCGTCGCGCATGTTGCGAGGAACAGATCTTCTCCGGTGTCATGGACGGCGTTGAATGGGTGGCGACTTCTCGACTCGGGCAGGCCGATGACGTCGTACCTTATCCTTCTTGTTTGCATGAGCAACTCTTCTAACAAAGACTCCGATGCAAGAGTACGTGCATTGTAGGTACAGATCGTCACCATAGTTCTTTGAAATCCAGGCAGCTTCCATTGGCCCTGAGATTTTAACAGCCTCTCCGTACTCGTCTTACCCAACGCTACGAAATTGGGGTCTCTTTCGGGATCAGGGGAATGAGGCCCGTTTTTTTTTTTACTGTACTTAGCATTTTTGATACCCACGTATAGCTCGCTAGGCTCTGAACGTGGGGGCTGGGTATACTCACGGGCTCTCCCAGCACATATATATGTGCACATATATACATATATATATTCATATGTACTTGCCCTCCAAACGGCTTACTACCTCATCGCGGCTGGGAGGTGTTCTTTGGTGTCAGCCTGCGATGTACAGCGAGGAGATTCTTCTCTCCAACAAGATCTTACAAGCTGAGCATAGGTCCGGCGCTTCCATCACGAAGCCCAGTTAAGACTAAACGAATACTAAGGTGCACTAACGTTTTGGTATCAGATTAGTCGCATGGTGGAAAATCTCCCTCTGATCCACAAGGGTGGCAACTGCCTGTGGTGGTGACGACCTGGGGCAGACTTTGGCCTGGGTGACCTCGGGACCCCAGGGAACCACAATGGCTGAACTAGCAAAACTCCGAAAAAAATGTAAACTATAAGACGGACCATCGAAATATCCGATTCTGTACATGCGTACGTATATACACATATGCATATATATATACAAGCGCATTTTGCGCTACCTACAGCGCAGTGGCTGGAAGTGCCTTGTAATATACACTGTATCGGTACTTGATTGGATCTCATGGTCCCGGGAAAGCATGTGCTCCAGTACTCTCCTTTCCTAGTTTCAGAGGGCGAAAAACACCGAAATGATACACTGGTACGCCACCGAATGTTACTGTACAGGCGAAATATGCATCCTATCCTATTTAAGATGCTGCGAATGGAATGTATGATGCACTGTTCAGGTAATGTTTAACGCTGCACGTTTCATATTATATATATATATATATTTACATATAAATATATATGTATATACTTGACATGCGATATATACATATAATACATACATATACGTGTACACGTACATGTAGATGTATATATATATATACATATATATATACATGTATATAAACTAAGAGACCTACTGATTATAGACGAGCGTAGAAATGAAGCGATTGTGCGGATCAAAGCGTACGTCAAACCGACTAAAGGGTTCACAGTCGTGAAGACGTATTTGGTTTTTCTGAAAAACAAACGCTTTTAAACTATTTTTGCGTAGATTTATTATACTATTAGAGACACCTAAGCATCACAATACACAAAAGTAAGTAAGCCAGTAGTAGAGCTAGAAAGAGTGAGCTAGAAAGTAGGTGAGCCAAGACATACGTGAACGGCAAACTGCGGTGACAACTCATAGAAGTCCATCAGAACATAATCTGGAGCGAACTCCTCTTGCGCTGTCACGAGATGTGTCGAAGAAAAACCCACGAGAACATCGCTTACGTCCCTTAAACAATGATTCTAACAGGAAGAAATAGTACGAGACTGAAAGCGTCTATATGAAGAAAGCCGATATAAGGGATTTTCAGTGTCTATAAAGTAACAAACTGATAATATGCAAAAGATTTGTCTATTTCTGCTGTGAAAAACGACTCGGAAAAAAGCCTCACCCTTATTTTAGTAAGAGACAAGAAACTCACAGTGAACCAGACTTAACAACATGGAAAGATTTCCATGTTCTAGTCATCCCGTCATAATGAGTAACTCTAGTAAAACATTCAAGTCTTGAAAAGTATATCTCAGCTCGATATCGGCTTGAAAGATGATAAACCTTTCTCCTTCCATATTTCTGCAAGACAGACATTAGAAAACTGTATCCAAGGCACGCAGAATGCAAGAAGTGTTCTGATCAAATAGAAATGGAGTGGAATATGACTATATAGAACTTACGAATGGCATGAAACCAGTAGAAGCAGTAATGCATCAGAATTATGGAAGGTGAATGGCAATTGACAATTCGAAGTTCCCAGTGTTCAAATGCCAAATAGGGAAGTAAAAACGCCCATATCCATACTATCATGTCGTTATTTCCACAAATACGCTAATAAGAAACTATTTTTAACTAATGATTTAATCCCAATATAACATATTTTGCGTACACCAGCAATTTTACCAACTCATTTCCTTGCCAATGAATTCCCTCACACGAGGGATCTCCAGCCGGTTAGTCGCGAGGCTACTTGGCGCATCCCAAGGGTTTAGTCGCGGACCGAAAGCGACCTTCCAGGGGATGGACTCCCGGTTTCTGCTGCGCTACTTTAGCAAATACTTTCGGTATTTACGACGGCGTACTCATGGATGCATGCGTGGGTGTGTTCTCGCCCCGTGCGGATTGTATTCCACGAGTCTATTCGGCCAAAAACCTGCAACCAAGTGACAGCGCAGTACATAGGCGGCGGTTAGGAGTCACCCGCAACAAGCACCATGCCCACTCTGGGACAGATCGGCAAGCTACCCGTGAGTATACTCGGTCCCACTTTCAGAGCTCAGCAAGCTATACGTAGGTGTCAAAAAGCTAAAAACAGTAAAAGAAACGGGTATCATTCTTCTGACTCCGAAAAAGCCTCTAATTCGGCACCCTTGGGTAGGACGAGCACGGAGAGGCTGCTAAGCAGCTCTGAGGGTCATTCAAAGCTGTCTAAATCGTAAAAGATCAAGGTGACAATCCGTAGCTATAATGAACGATCACTAGCACCTGAGTCCTCGATAAAAGACTTGATCAAGCAAGAAAGAAGGATACGGTGCGACGCCGTCGGATTGGTCGAGACGAGACGATGCGATCCATTCAACGCCGTCCATGACATCGGAGAAGAACTGTTTTTCGGAACATGCGACAGTAGAGGAGTCGGCGGCGTTAGCGTTCTCGTCAACATGGGGCTCGTCCATGAGCATCGATTCATTTGAATAACAACAACCCGAATCAGGCGTTAACACCTAAACAAATGTAGATCAATACCGGCTTTGACTATCTTCATCGTTTACGCGCCGAAACCAAATTATGACGAAGAAAAATTCGAAGCGTTTTATATGGACTTGGAGAAGTTCTACAGAGAACATCATACATTGTTCAAGGTCGTCATTGGAGATTTTAACACCACAAATGGACCAAGAAGAACGTCTGAAGAACCTCACACTGGGAACCACGATTTAGAATGGAATGAGCAGAGTAAGCGGCCTTGTCTGCCTGTCTTTCAATGTCTGAGTTTATCATAGCGATCAAGACAGAATTCATAGTAACTCGCGGGCCCAGAAACCCCACATTCAACGCTGGACGTGGGGGTCTCCTAGTGGAAAATACTGTAACGAAATAGGCCACATCACAGAAAACCGAAGGACTTGCCTTACCGATGTCGTTGTTGTCCCACAATTCTAAACAAGACCGTCGCCTCCTTCGCGCAAGATTCCAGTTGTCGGGGAAAGGAGAAAAAGCAGCTAAATTCAAAAAAAAAACAAAGAACCAGAACTAACATAAACTGGAACTTATTCAATTCATTAGTCTGCAGAACATGGTCTTCTGTATAGCTGGTCTTGAAGACCTGTCATGCTGATTCTCTGGAATCCACGGATGGTTCCCAACTTTTCACCACAAGTAGTCGTTTTTTGGATCGGACGGAGCTCCTAGAAACGGCCGGCACTGATTTGCCCACCCCTGATAGAATTCATGGTTTGCCTAGGATGACGTCCGAAATTGTGGTCCTGCGCATTTTAGAGCAGAAGCACCGTAGAACCACCTCTAACCACTGCGCTTTCTGCGCCCATAGAAGTAACAATATATTGCGCAACCTAAGGTTAACTTTGTCACCCTAAACTTAAAGGGATAATAAGAACCAAAAACAGATATGTTAAAATATGCAGTTTAAAAGGAAAGGTAGAAAACCAAACGAAAAAAGGAAAACCTCTCGATTGGTCACGGCGAGGACGATGTTCGCTGGTTCTTCATTGCAGACGCATATGAGCGAAGCGCTCTCGTCTGGAACTTCCTCAGCCCGACCGACGATCATACAACTCCTAAGGGCTACTGATGTAGAAAGCAAAGAGACTCAAACATTAAGATATGTTGATATCCAGATAAGTTTAGGATAAAAAGAATCATTTGAACGAGGTGCGCGATTATGAATAGGGCGCGAAATTTGTACTTCGGTATTGAGTTGAAATGTGGTCGTACTTCATCGAAATTTCTTTATATAATGGACGTCGTGGCTACTAAAACCATTAATAGCTATGGAGCTGTAATGAGATTTGAGTCACAGTGACTCTTGTCATCGTTCGCCATTGACTTGTTGCCGTCAAAAATTTGTTTAGTTCATCTCACAATAAGCGCTGAACAAGAGATCCTCATCATCCTTAGCAACCTTAATGCAGTTTAAGAGTTCACAGCACTCGAAAACTACTTGTTTTCTGGTTGCAAGTGTTCTTCTTTGCTGTTTTCGTTCTAGCTCTGTTTCTAAGATTGGTCGTTACTGTCGGTTTCTTTCCGCATGGTTCTTAAATTCATTTTTCCGTCTGTTCTTCAGGATTCTCCACGACTCGATGGTACCTGAAAGATCGAATGATGTGCTGCTAGCGGACTTTCCGAAACTTCCGTTACCCCAGGAGAGAACGGATGAACTAGTGCTGTCCTCTGTTGATTGGGCACATGTGAGTTAGGGTTAAGTGCTTCATTATTGTTCCTTTATTTCTGTTGATCTGTTTCCAAGACATTCGTGGCAAGTTAAGGGAGATATTCCCATGATCGAGTTTTTGCTAACTTCAGTACCGAAGGAACATTCTTTATATTCTTGTTGAGCAAATATGAGGTGTTATTTTATTTCTTTATTTACGAACCAAACTGACGTTTCGGAGGATTTCGTCTCCTTCAGAGCTTGGAAAGGTCAAGTCGACCGCTGTCTACCCAGGCAAATACCTTCATAACCTTCATAAGAGGATAGTTTTGTGGTTTTTTGTTCGCCTTTTGCGATGACAAAAGATTCGCAAACCCATTTCAGTTGTACTACTTGTTCACTAGTTGTATCTTTCGCCTCCTTGCACTGTTACAATTCCTAGGCTCACGGTCTTGTAACTCGGACGAAGGAATACAAACATCGTAGCGATATTTGTCAGACAACACCCTTCACCCTTCTTCCAACACCATTTCCGCGGAAATTGTTTCTTCAAGCCATAAATGTTCAAAATGTAAGTCTTTATATTTTTTCTCCCCACAGTTTTATAGAATAAAGGATCAAGGTCTCGGCGTTGATCAATCGCCCAAGGATGCGCCATGCATTCGACTTCATTAAGCATCGTCATAGGTGATTGAATGAATATATGGCCTTTACAATGACTCTCGGTGGCTGTCGATATCGAGTCTGCTCTCGCTCCAGAAAAATATGGTACCAATTTGCCGACCCAGCAGAGATGGAAGTGTGGATCGATCCCATTTGTATTGCTGGACGCCTCCGACCACAGTGTATATGTCTAGTATTTATATGTAGATTTTTAGTTAATGGCCACTCTCTATCATGAAGTCGCGTACGATTACGAATTCCTGATCGACTGTCATAAAGATGTTGTCAAGACTGACTCTTTTACTGGGGGATTAATTGAAATCCTCAAGAAAGTTATTGATGAAGGTAAGAGAACGTTTAAAACCGTGTATTTATACCGCTGTCGTAATTTTGTTCATTCTTCTTTAAGGTCTTGCGCAGAGGAAAACCCTGGTTATACAGCGATCGGATTATATGTGCCATAAAGATCCCTTCTCATGCGAATACTCGTTAAGACAAGTACATCTTTCACATCTCATTAGTCTTTTTTCCTGCTCTGTGTTAGGGGTATATCTATGTTTTTAGATTGAAGTGAACAACATAGCCTCGAGCATGGGTGGTCACGCCGAAAGGGTTTGTCACAAACCTTTTGTTTTTAGCCCATTGAATTCCTAGTGGTTTTTCGCTCGACATTTCTAGGTTACTAAAATGCATAGGCGTACTCTGCTTGAACTTGGATACGATAACGAAACAATGGAGAGGGCTATTCCAGCGAATGAGCCAATCAAAATCATTGCGGAGGCTCTTTACAAAGCATGGTAGGCGATCGTTGGCATTGGTGCTTCTTGTTCATTGTCTCAGTTTTTAGGAAACCAGCTCAGTACTTGTAAATTTTTGTCCACTGTTTTATAAGTTACTCTTACAGGCAACTATTTTCAATACCGCATGCTGTCGTGCTTGTAGTAGTTGAGGCTGAGAATCAAAATCAAATCGATCAACGTCATGTCGAGTATGCTCTTGAAGAACTTGGCGTGCCTATTGATCAGATCGTGCGGAAGACATTGGCGCAATGCTATGAATGGTATGGCGGTGGAGTGATGTTTTTTTTAGCAACAGGAACTGCTGACACGTTTCGCCATTGATGTTGGTGCAGTTCTTATTGACCTCATCAGCTCCGTTATATATGTTATCCGCTTTCAGTTTAACTTTGTCACCTGAACGCCACCTACTTTTATTAGGCTCTCGAGTAACGGTTGTGTACTTCCGCGCTGGGTATTCTCCGGATCACTATCCAAGCCATAGAGGTCAGGTCTTTGACCCTTCGAATATCCCTTGCAGTTACATATCTCCTACAGGTCCTTTGCCCTTTTAACCTTTTTTAACGCGTGTGTATAACGCGGTAGTCGAAGGCGCCCTGCAATACAAATGGGATCGATCCCAGCACCCCAGGTCTACCAAGCCCTCCATTCTTCCGGTGTTGGAAAATTGGTACCAGACTTGTCTGGGGGAATAGTAGCACTGGCTCGATACACCAGTAGGCCACAGTGAGCCATTGTAGAACTCAATTATGCATTCAGTCACTTTCAACGATGCACAGTGAAGTCGATTGCATAACGTATCCCTCAGAGATTGTTCAGCATCGAGAGCTCTATCCTTTATTCTAAACTTTTTTAGAATGGGATGCCCGTTTAATGATCGAAAGATCAGATGCAATAAAGTCGCCATGGATTGGCCTTCAGGTGGCCAATACCAAGAAAACTCAGCAGGTGAATGTTTAGCATTTTTGCACTAAGGAATTAAGGAACAAAACCTAAGCGATTGCTTTGTTTGAGGTTCTTGCGGAGGATGGTGTAGTAGAGAGATTTGTCGGTCATCCACGTAACGCTGCAGCAATACGAGCAACTTTTGCTGGATTGTGGGCTATTAATGGCTCTCATCCGGTTATTGATCGGTTGATTAAGGTGAATCAAAGCTGGTATTTCTTCGAATTTGCAAAGTACCGTGTCGGTTGTTTTCGAGCTTGCTCGTTTGCACATATTTTAGAATGTAATCTGTTGCAAATATAATTTGGTGAACTCAGAATCAATAGGCAAAACAAGTAGATATTAAGCAAGGTAAATGGTCGCTTGGTTGATTCTCATCCTTTATCGACCAAGCCTTCCATCTCTTCAATGCCACTAACTTTTATAAGGGACTATGAAATTGTTAGTACGAGGTGTAGATGCAGGTCGCAATGCTGAAATCTTGTCAGCTTCATCGGCGAGCAATCGGATGGATGACTAATGGAATTTCTTCTATGAGTTTAATCAACTCTATGTCTTCGAACGGACTTTTGTCATTATCATTTCATGTTTTAGAATGCTATCTCCCATCCATCACGCTTTGTTCTGAAACCCCAATTGGAAGGAGGAGGTGGCAATTTTTATGGTGAACAAATGGCTGAGAAACTTAAAACCTTAACGGAAGAACAACGAGGCGCATATATTTTGATGGAACGGATTCAACCTCTCGTAGCTGAGGTTAGATCTACAAGTCAACATGTAATAGACTCTTCATTCATTCTGTTTATAGAACTACCTAATTCGTGCAATGCAGCCCGTCGAATTATCAAGAGTTGTTAGCGAATTAGGAGTTTATGGCTACGCATTGGGTGACCGTGGAATTGCGGAAGTCCGTCAAGGTGGGCACCTACTGCGCACAAAGTCTGAAAACGTGGATGAGGTAAGGAATTAAGAATTTTAATTACTTATAGTTAATTGCTAGTTGGTTTAATTAAAAATTTTCACCGTTTTACTTCATTATTTCCTCCCAACGGTTTGCCGTCTCATCGTGGCTGGGAGGTGTTCCTGGGTGTCGGGTTGCCATGTACAGGTAGAGGATTCATACCATCAGCAAGGCCTCTAAAACTGGAGGAGTCCAGCGTTTCCATCGGGAAACCCAGCTAAGAGTAAACCAATACCAACATCCACCACCGTCCTCGTATCAAATTAGTCGTGTGGTGGCAAATCTCCCTCTAATCTACAAAGGCGGCGACTCTCTGTGTTGATGACGACCTGGAACAGACATTGGCTAGGTTGACCTCGGGACTCCAAGGAATTACAATTGCTGAACCAGCGAAACTCTGAAAAATGGAAATTTTGCTGCGGCCCGCACAACTTGCGAAGACGGGTCATCCAAGTATCGAACTATCCCAAGTATTTCGTTGTTCAATTTTGGTCGCATTGTGTGATAACAAATGAACACTCACATTAGTTTTACTGAGTTGGAACTCTTAACACACACTTTTTTGAAGGCTAGCTGTAGCTAGAATGTCAGTAATGTTTGTATCGATGCTTAGATCTCATGCCGAACTTACTACGTTGTGTTGTATTGGTAGGGCGATGGTAGTGCAGTGGTTAGAAGTGCTCTTTATTACACAGTTTTCATTGGTTCCATCTGGTTTTTAAAACCAAGCCCTCTATTCTTTCGGGCTGGACGAATTCGAAGGAGATTTGTTCTTTTTTGTTTACTATTTGATTCATTAATTACTGGTTGTTGAAATGCTATATACAGCCGGGAGTCATCCCTTTCATGAAATGTTTCTCTTTTGTATTAGTAATCTTGAACTTCTAGTTTTAATAGTAGGTTTAATCACACAACTTGTAACTTTTTGTCATTTAAAAGCCTATAAAAGAAAGGAAAGTTGTCACCCAACAAATGCGGTAGAGAATGCGAGCGATAGAATATTTGTTATCCTAAATAGTAAAACTTCATTATTTGATTAAGTAACGCTCGGTTTATCGTGCACTTTTTGTTTTACTAAACTCATTTATTCTCATGAAATTCTGTATCCACGTCTTACCATACTGCGTGTTGCATTTCCTTATCAAAGGATAATCAGTGGTCAAATTATTCAGTCAGTCGTTAAGTTCATTACTCATTTACAATCACTGATAGGCTTTTACACCTAAAATCAGCAGTTGATGTTACGGAATTCGATACTTTTTATGAGGATGGCGAGGAACTCGTACGTAATGGGAAGCTATACTGCATACTCGTTGCGGGCGTTTTCAATTCGATCGCAACACCACAAGAACAGATATAGAGAATCACAAATTTTAGGTCAAGACATCTCAGTAGAAAAATAGTTTTGCACGACTCTTTCGAGAAGGTCGTCACTGCTAGATCTGGAATTCCACAATCAGAAAGACTCATGAGAAGGTCGCTCTTCGGGAGCAGGAGATAGAATCCATTCGACGTTAATGGCGCTATTTTTCCACGCCGGATCTAATCATCGTCTTCTTCATTCGAAGATTCACCTCACTAATAAAGTGGAAAGGAAATTGGAACCTATTTTCAGTGTTCTATCTAGTTATAACTGATGTGAAAACGATCGACTTGAATGCTTTTGAGAGGTATTCGAAGCCTGACAAATTGAGCTGTTGTTTTCAAAATACAATGACAGTCTTTGGATATTTATCAAGTAAGACCAAAGAGCTCCTGAAAAAGGGAAGATACTTATTGATACTTGATATCTTGCTGCTGCAGGTATCGAAAGAACGGTCGCCAGTGCCTTTTGCAGAAAACAGTACAGGAAGGTCTTCGTCGATATCGGCAGACAAATCATAGAATCGGCGCAAAAAGCGGAAGCTCAAAGAGATGTCGTCGAGGTTTCTGCGAATACAGTCGCTTCCTGTTGCGTTCAGAGGAATAGGAAGACTATGGTCTAGCACTGTAGGTTGGATTCAGTAAGAAAGGGATTTTATACAAATCTCTCTTAATGGTTGTACGAAATAACCATCTCCACTGCAAAAAGACTACCAGTAATCGTTTTCGCATAGGTCTGAGCTCCAGTTAGAGGTTGGGCCTGGTGTAACTCTTACGGTAGATAGTACTCTGAATGTGAAAATCAGTACCACAGGATCAGTCTAGCTTGGTTGAGTCTTGTGTAACAGCTTTTCCAGAACGAAGCATTGAATGAAGTCGGTATAGTACCTTCTTGTATTATAGAGCTGACATATGGTTGCTATGAAATGTTTGTTCAGCTAAAGTTTCGACGTCTTCATCTTCTTCAGAGCAGCACTGGTCCGAGTTGATGATCCACAGATGGTCGTTTTAGCTATCTGGGTATTCCTTGTCGCATCGAGTCGAATCCACTGAAATGTGGCACCGATCGAATAAAGAATCTCAGTCGACGGTGCCCTTTCATACAGGACGTGTGTTGGTCGAGTTCCGCCGTTCAATATGATCTGCTGTTTAGTGGGTAATGCGTCCTGTAGCAGTCAGTGGTATGCTAGGATCAATGCAGCTCTATGGAAGACGATGACATCAAAACGTTAGCCGAATAAATATTTCATAACAACTTCGTGTCAGCTCAATAACACGAAGAAGGTACTGATCATTTATGCCAAGATTAAATAAAAATTGCTTCAACTCGGTGGTTTTTTCTGTCATCACTAACAGTGATAGCTGGTTAAGGAATTCAGGAAGAAGAGAAAATATGGCTAAATTTGTTCACAGTTATACTGCATTGGTTTATGAAGTCAATCTCTTGTACAAAAAGAGATATGTGTTTTTTCGGCGGTCCCTCTTCAACCTTCATCTTGTCGCGACTGTCATATTTTCGAACAGAGTCGCATTATAGACAACTCAAAACGAGTTTAATGAAAGAACGAAGAACTTATGAAAACTTATCAATTATGAAATTCCCATGTCAAGATGAACGCTTGTTAAGGAAAAGACGTTTTCCTGAATGGATCACTGATTGAAGGGACCACATTTTATTATTTGACTTATTCCATTAGTCTTATTGTTTCATTACTATTAGTGAGTATGCTTGAGATATTCAGTGGGCATAGTTAACGACTTTGACAGAACAACTAAATGGAAGACAACGACTAGTGTGGAATACCAGGCTTCTAAAAGAAGCCACTGGTCAGCTTACTGTTCCCGACTTACACACTCAGTTATTGACGTATCAGTACTTTCAGCTTCGTGTTCTATGCAGTGCAGGACAAATATTTTTCGATAGTTCACCTTTATCAAAGATATCACCCATAGTACACTGGGCAGTCGAGCGATATTTTTTGGAAGTGAGCCAGCACACCGCGCCAAGCTAGTTTTCGTTGTTCATACTTTCCAGAAACAACTCGTCTTCGAGATCTAGTAGGATACCTCTCAAGAAACAAACATTGGCGGGCCGGTGAGTAGGTGACGGTAGACGAGGACAGAAGAACGAAAAGAACAATTGAGGAGATCCTAAAAGAGTGAAACCCACTTCCAAGAGTATCGACTAGAAGATATGCCGGCGTGTTAACTACGCACGCAAGTCGGCTTACACGTGGAAACAAATCTCGTACTGCAATCGGTGCTACACACGGATCTTACCAACTAAACGGATTATGGTTGCAGAAAAAAGAACCGAATTTATAAAGTGACAAGACTCGCACGGCAGGTGAGGATCTTTCTTATTAGTGATCAACCCCAAAGGGTTTATCGTTTATAATCTTCATAATGCATTCGAATTCTTTAACGTCATAATAAAATTTCCTGATTTCTTTCCCTGTTTCACATTCTTGTTATTGTAAAAGTTACGACTTCACAAAAGTCCATAAGAAGTATGAATTACTGAAAATCATATTTTGTTTATATTTTACATTTTCCCTGAAACGATAGTAAACAACGCTAATGAGTTTTTGGGCGAAACTAGTAATTCTTTTTCGCATTGACGTTCGAATCACTGTCATTGTTAAGGTTCTATTGGAATGCTGAGGTTACTGCGTAGGTCCTTTTTTCGCATTGATAGCGTAACGAGCTTTCCTTCGTAGTGAAGAGAAAAGGTGAGGTTTCAGTGACTGTATTCACGAGCTTGAAAAGCATTCTACTAATCCCGATATGCCTTCCAGCGAGGGTTACACTTTACATTGTTCCAATTCTTGGAGGAGCCAGTGTCTGCCGAATTGAGAAATATGCACGTATTACAACTTTTAGGTCTTTCGTTCGCATTTTTGAAAAGGTTTCCGATCTTGTCTTTTCCACTTGACGATTGTTGGAAAATATGTTTTCACTATTTTATCACATGTAGTAAGAAGGTAAGAATGATGGAGGATACTGTATTAAGGTGCAGCCGTACTGAAAAAATGACTATTTGGTTCGATAGCTTAGTATCTAAGTGCTTTAAAATCTATCGGTCAACAAAAGATGTTGCGTCCGGCGTAGACCAATTCGTTAGGGTGCCTCCGACATTATTCGTAAGATGCGGAGTGGATCCAATGCATAGTCTATACAATCAGTTATATCACGGCAGTGCTTTTTTATCTTCTCAGACGAGTATGTATCTACTTGCCTATGCGGATGAACGGCGGGCTCGATTTGCTTTCGTCGCACGGTCGAACCAATAACGGCGTGGGTATTGCAGAGCACCTCTAACGGCTACGCTAAACGCGCTCTGATTAACAAGCAGATACATTCTTCAAACTAATTTTTTTAGTGAAATGCAACCACAGCAATGTTGAGATATTTGTGGAACTCTGGATCAGGGGTATCTGCAGTCTGGAGTTCTGCACATATCTCATCATCGTTGTGGTCGCATTTCACTGAACACCTTGCCGTGAAAAACTATAGTTGGCAGTAAAGCAAAGGTTAACACTGTAATTTCGTAGTATTTTTACGAAATGACCTTGTCAAACTGATGCGAGATTGGTATTGTCGTTTGACGTTGCTGTTTTTTGCCTTCCGCATAGCCTGGTCGTATT